CCGCCCGCCCGGGTGGCCCCTTCTCCTGCAGCTGCTCCCGGGGCCAAGCGAGCCGTGGCCCGGATCGCCCCTCCTTCCCGCAAAGCGCCAGCCTGGCCGGAGGCTGAACCGGGGCGCCTGGGGACCCCCGCTTTAGTTTCTTCCCCTCGCCCATGAAACCCGGGCTGGACGTTTTCTTTACACCCGAGTCCCGGTTACGAGACTTCCTGGAAGGGGCCCGAGCAGGAAGAGAAAAATTGACACGTGGACTTTTTTTTTCCACTTGCCAAGGACAGACGGAGGTGATGATTTACCGTATTTTGCCTCCGGCGCGAACCTCGAATTAGTCGCGGGCGAGGCGTCTTGGAGCGGACTATCCTCAGGGCGGGGACCCAGCCCCCTCCCCTTCCCAGCTCAGCCTTTGCAACCCCAGCAGCCTCCCGGTCCAACTTTTAAGCCGGGTCTCTGCCTGCGAAGACTTCAGTGGCGAAGGTGAGCAAGTTCCCAAACTTTTTCTCCTTTTCGCTGACTCGTTTTGGTCCTTCGGAAGGGTCTGCCCTCATCAACCTTCTGGTCCTGGGAGATGGGAATTTCTAATGCTCTCTGGCCTGGTGGTTTTCTCATTTGTGGATTCCCCCCCCCCCCCCCGCTTATTAATTAGGAGTTGAATGGCCTTGAGTGTCAGCAGCCATGGAGCACAGGGTTTGGGAGCCGGTCTGCTCGCTTCCCAGCATCAGCTGCCCCCAGCAAGATGCCCCCGGCCGTGCCAGCAGGAAGTCGCGAAAAAAGATGGAGGAATAGGAGATGTCTCTTGGTCCAGGTGAGAATTTGATGTCTTTTTCCAAGCCTCCGAGTAAATGCTGGTGGCTGGCCATCTGGCCGTCCATCCAGTCCAACAGTGGAGAAACTTGGTTGGGTCTAAAATATTGGTTTAACAGCTGGTTTCTATTGACTGTTGGTCCTTTTTATTATATCTGGAGGGGTTCTGGTCTACAGCCCCAGCCCCGTGTGACCGACTTCAGTTTGGCTTACATGACAAAAGATTGAACTGATCGCCAACAACATGGGGACGTTCACAAAGACTGAAAGAGGTTGCTTGTGAATCTGTTGCAGCAAAACTAAAACCAGCAGCCATTGGACCTCCTTGTGTTACTCCTTGGATGAGGACTGCTAGGAAATCCCAGGGCTTTCAACCAGTGTTTCTCAACCTTGGCAATTTTAAGATGTGTGGACTTCAACTGCCAGAATTCCCCAGCCTGCATGGCTGGGGAATTCTGGGAGTTGAAGTCCACACTGGCTGGGGAGTTCTGGCAGTTGAAGTCCACACATCTTAAAATTGCCAAGGCTGAGCAACACTACTTTAGACTAAACTGGGAAGTCAGAAAATGTCCTACAAAAAGACAGTGGGAACCCTCTTCTGCCCTCTTGCCAAGAAAACTGAATGGAATTAGGAGACAGTTGAACTACTGGAAAGAAACTTCACCTAAAGAATTTCCAGGTATAACTGAAACCCAAGTTTATAGCTGGCTGAGGACCAGGAGCCAGCGGCCCTGATAACTCTGAGCAGGTTCTCCAGAATGGCCAATGGGTGGGGAACTGTGGAAATGGAAATTCAGCAACATCTAAAGGCTCTCTCCCTTGAGGTTCCTGGAGCCAAGAATTATCCTTGGTTGTAGCTACTGACACACTGAAATGAAGAAAATGTGAGCTCCGAGACAAAAACACAGTCAAATGCAAGACGTACTGCCTGCATGCCAGCCAAGATTATCTTCTGTCCACCCCCTGTTTGCATCTATTTAAAACTCAGTCTAGTTATGAGCGCTGTATGTAGACCAGTGTTTCTCAACCTCAGCGCCAACCCCCTAGAAAGAGCCGAGCCTGCACCCCCCACACCCACCCCCCCAACCCGCCA